GGTCAAAGGCTCCAGGTGTGGCCCCCTAAGAAAACCACCTGCTTCAGTCTGGGCACCTGAGCAGTATCACAGACCTCACAAATCAAATGAGATTTGTGAGGCGCATATGTATCTGGTGCTTCCTTGTACCAATATTTATGTGTTTAAATAAATAAATAATGTAAATATATTTTTAAGTACTGGTTAGCTTTAGTATCCTATGAAAATGTCTAAAGTAGTAAGAGAAAATCGTGTAACTATATCCTATGTCAAATTCTAGATTTGAATCATTCACACAGATTCATAGAATATTCAAGACATATATGAGTTCTCATATTCCTAGTTTATTTTGAAATCAATCTCAGATGACTGAGAGACTGTATTCTGATTTATTACTGTGTAGAAACCGATGTTATGTCGATATTGTACCAAGTATTGATTGAACTTTATCAAGTAAGCTGTAACTTGGTTATCGGTTAGGGTGAATCGACATGGCATATTTCAAGCTTTGATGTTCCGTATTAGAAGTCAAGTTATAAGAAATTTTAAACTTAAGTGTCTCATTATTAATGCCAGTAAGTAATACATATCTAAAATCTTCAGAGAACATATTCTCATGGTGGGATCTGAACCATAGATTTAGACTATGAAACTGAGTGACACTAGAATAAACTTCACAATGAGTGTCAGCTTCTCCAAGATGACAGGTATGCCTTGCTGATGATCACTAACTAGTGCGAAACTTGAGTCAAGTAAGGTTTCCTTCCTACTATCTTCAGCCATCTAAGAAGCCTGATATCAGAGTTAGAATTAAAATATGACAAATATGATATCACTTATTATTCAGTGATCAATCAAAGTAAATATTTCAGTCCTATAAAAGATTTATCTTACTTTCAGTAACTTAGAGGTATTAGTTGTAACAATAAATGGTCGTGTTTGGATTTAATAAAAGGGCACCCATCCCCTTAAGATGGTCAATACCTCTTGATCATAAATTCAACTTGTAGAAAATCTACGTTCATGACTTCTTACCAACCCTTCCCAATCACTAAACATAAACCCTAACCAAATGCAATTTTAACAAAGTAACCATAAAAATCTGTTTTTAAAAAAAATGGACATTCAGGCGAAATAGATCGAAATATGTCGTTCCTTAACAATTCATAATGAACATTATATCTATCGTAGTGTTGAGGTTTTCAGCTTAGATGAATGCTTCTGGTAACTATACTTTCACAGACCAGGATGATTTGATTGTCAATTTTCCACCATAGTTCTGAACAGAACCATCAATGCTTAGTTCGAGTAGAACTGTGCATTTCAAAGTTCATCAGTAGACACTGAACCGGTCTGTTCTGATTATCTTGTTTGTTGTTTTATATAACAGAATGGTTTCATTTGGACCATAACTGGAAACTAGGAAGCTCTGGGCGACTATTTCGTCATAGTATGGGACGATTCAACTCCGCCTGTAGCTCCTCTGGGGGTTACTGCCGGTCCCAAGCCCGGGTAAAGGAGGAGGGTTGGGCATGGGGTTAGCGACCCCATCCCGTAGAAAATCAACTCGCTAAAAAAACGCTAACCAGAAAAAATTATTCAGACCATTCAAACTCTGCCCTGGGAGTAGAAGGAATAATGACGTCTCATGATGAAAGCCAAGTTCCTTCGGAAGTCATGAGGCCGATGCACCTTCTTACAACCAGAGCGACAATTTTTATAGGTACATGGAATGTCCGAACAATGTGGGAGACCGGAAGAGTCTTCCAAATTGCTGCAGAAATGAGAAAATACAACCTGGAGGTTCTTGGAATCAGCGAAACACATTGGACGCAGGTCGGACAACAACGACTGTCTTCAGGAGAACTTCTGTTATACTCCGGTCATGAAGAAGAAAATGCCCCACATACACAAGGAGTTGCATTGATACTGTCCAGAAAAGCACAAAATGCACTTATAGGATGGGAATCTCATGGACCAAGGATCATCAAAGCCTCCTTCAGAACAAAGAGAGAGGGCATTACAATGAACGTCATCCAATGCTATGCGCCTACCAATGACTACGATGAAGACGCTAAAGACCAATTCTACGATAGGCTGCAGTCGATCGTCGAGAAGTGCCCAACCAAGGACCTGACAATTCTGATGGGAGATCTCAATGCTAAGGTTGGAATGGATAACACTGGATATGAAGACGTCATGGGACAACATGGACTGGGAGAAAGGAACGAAAATGGTGAGAGATTTGCAAACCTATGTGCCTTCAATAAACTGGTCATAGGTGGCACCATATTCCCACACAAAAACATACACAAAGCCACTTGGATTTCACCGGATCACACTACACAGAATCAAATCGACCATATCTGCATCAACAAAACGTTCAGGAGGACGATGGAGGATGTGAGAACCAGAAGAGGGGCTGATATAGCATCCGATCACCATTTGCTGGTCGCCAAGATCAAACTAAAACTCAAGAAGCAGTGGACAACGGCGCGGATAACATCACAAAAGTTTAATACGGCTTTTCTTCGAGATGTTGACGAACTCAACAAATTCAACATAGCCCTCAGCAACAGGTTCGAGACCTTTTATGATCTACTCAATGGAGAGGGGACTACTATGGAGAGCAACTGGAAAGATATCAAGGAGGCAATCGTTTCAACATGTCAAGAGGTTCTGGGTTACAAGAAGCATCATCACAAGGAATGGATCACTGTTGGTACACTGGATAAGATTGAAGCAAGGAGGAACAAGAAGGCAGCAATCAATATCAGCCGAACCAGAGCGGAAAAAGCCAAGGCACAAGCCGAATACACAGAGGCAAACAAGCAAGTGAAGAGGAGCATCAGAACCGACAAACGTAAATATGTGGAAGATTTAGCGATGACAGCGGAAAAGGCTGCAAGAGAGGGAAACATGAGACAACTGTATGATACAACAAAGAAACTTGCTGGAAATTACCGTAAGTCAGAAAGACCAGTGAAAAACAAGGAAGGCAAAGTAATCACCGACATTGAAGAACAACGAAACAGGTGGGTAGAACACTTCGAAGAACTCTTGAATCGACCAGCTCCACTGAACCCACCCAACATCGAAGCAGCACCCACGGACCTCCCAATCGATATTGGCCCACCAACAATTGAAGAGATCAGCATGGCCATTAGACAAGTCAAGAGTGGCAAAGCAGCGGGACCAGAAAAGATCCCGGCAGAGGCACTGAAAGCAAATGTAACAGCAACTGCCAAAATACTACACATCCTCTTCAGTAAGATTTGGGACGAAGAACAAGTACCAACAGACTGGAAAAAAGGACTTCTGATCAAAATACCAAAGAAAGGTGATCTTAGCAAGTGCGATAACTACAGGGGCATCACTCTTCTCTCAATACCAGGAAAAGTCTTCAACCGAGTATTGTTAAACAGGATGAAGGATTCAGTGGACGCCCAACTTCGAGATCAACAAGCTGGATTTCGTAAGGATAGATCGTGCACAGATCAAATCGCAACTCTGCGGATCATTGTGGAACAATCAATCGAATGGAATTCATCACTGTACATCAACTTCATCGACTACGAGAAGGCATTTGATAGCGTGGACAGGACGACACTATGGAGGCTTCTTCGACACTACGGCGTGCCTGAGAAAATAGTCAATATCATACGGAACTCCTATGATGGACTAAACTGCCAAATCGTCCACGGAGGACAACTCACCGAGTCGTTTAAAGTAAAGACTGGTGTAAGGCAAGGTTGCTTACTCTCACCCTTTCTCTTTCTCCTGGTCATCGACTGGATCATGAAGACGTCAACATCTGGAGGAAATCACGGGATACAGTGGACAGGCAGGATGCAGCTTGATGATTTAGACTTCGCGGATGATCTGGCTCTTCTATCACAAACGCAACAACAAATGCAGGAGATGACGACCAGTGTAGCAGCAGCCTCAGCAGCAGTAGGTCTCAATATAAACAAAGAGAAAAGCAAGACTCTCCGCTACAATACAATATGCACCAATCAAATTACACTTGACGGAGAAGCTTTGGAGGATGTGGAAACCTTTACATATCTGGGCAGCATCATCGATGAACACGGTGGATCAGATGCAGATGTGAGGGCGCGGATCGGCAAAGCAAGAGCAGCATATTTACAACTGAAAAACATCTGGAGCTCAAAACAATTGTCAACCAACACCAAGGTTAGAATTTTCAATACAAATGTCAAGACAGTCCTACTGTATGGGGCGGAGACGTGGAGAACTACGAAAGCCACCATCCAGAAGATACAAGTGTTTATTAACAGTTGTCTACGCAAGATACTTCGGATCCGATGGCCAGACACTATCAGCAACAAGTTACTGTGGGAGAGAACAAACCAGATTCCAGCAGAGGAAGAAATCAGGAAGAAGCGCTGGAAGTGGATTGGGCACACCTTGAGGAAATCACCTGATTGCGTCACAAGACAAGCCCTCACATGGAATCCTGAAGGTCAAAGGAGAAGAGGGAGACCAAAGAACACATTACGCCGAGAAATTGAGACAGACATGAGAAGAATGAACAAGAACTGGATAGAACTAGAAAAGGAAGCCCAGGACAGAGTGGGTTGGAGAAAGCTGGTCGGCGGCCTATGCTCCATTGGGAGTAACAGGCGTAAGTAAGTAAGTAAGTATGGGACGATTCAATAATGGGTGACCATGATCTTCTCTCACTAAAACTATAAATGTAAGCTGTTGGATGTCACCTCAGCAATCAGTAAGTTAATCTTCTACCAAAAGACCCAGAGAATCCGACTTTGAAACCCAGTGGAGTCGCGAATGCTCACTGTCACAGAGTCTCATGCTAGGACGAAATAGCTATCTATTGCTTCATCATCATTAAAGGTTGTTTAATTGTAGTTATTCCATGATGTAACATTTCAGAGTTTTAAAAAACCATACAACTTCCCTTTACTGAAAAGTCTTTCAATAACTGATTCAGTATAATATATATTAATCAATAACATCATAAAATCTATTCTACTCACTTTGATAATTTCAACCATTTCATGTTTTTCAATAGTTCCATTACCATTAATATCATACATTTGAAATGCCCATTCAAGTTTTTCTTCTGGTTTACCACCTGATGTAATATTAATTGCTAATAGAAATTCTTTAAAATCAATTTTTCCAGAATTATCTTTATCAAATGTTCGAAATACATGTGTACAAAATTCTTCAGCATCACCATCAGGAAAAAATCCAGAATAAACTTCAATAAATTTTTTTTTACTTAATTGACCAGAAGGACAATCTCTCTATAAATAATAGAGGTGAAAAATTTTAAGAAAAAAAAAACAACTATATACTTGTTTTAAATTTTATTATATGATAATGAGCATATATTTGAAACAGAATAATTTATAGTAAACAAAGATGGATAGTGATGTTGATGTGGGTTTGTTCTCAGAGCTGGATGGTTTGGTGGTGGAACTTTCATTGTCCTTCTGAACGACATCATCAGCACAAACTTCGGGTAGAAGTGAAGTGTTTGAATTTCTCCACATGTGATGTCGTTCAGAAGGACGTTGAAAGCTCCACAACCAAACCATCAAGGTCAGAGAACAAACCCACACCAAAATCACCCATTTGAGCTACAAATCTTCTCCACCATCTCAAAGATGGATAGTGGCTAGCAGTGGAATCCAGTTTGACGCGCGTTTCGTCCTATTTGGGACTCATCAGCTGGATGTACATGCATCTCAGAGTTGATGTTCACTCTGGGACTCGAATAAGAGACTGACCAGTTGCAGTTCTAAACATCAATGGGAAGATTTAAACAAGTAACACTAAGTGGATTTCGAATAATTTATACACTGATATTGTGTTGTGTGCTATTTATATCGACATAAGTAGTATATACGCGTTAGTCAGGAATAGATTGTCTGTCAGCAGAAGGTTGACAATATCATTAAGTGAAAGAACGGGAACAGAAAAAAAAGGTATGGAATTGCAGGAACAATGAAGTTTGAGACAATTAATGAACATTTTACAAATGAAGTATTGAAGTATGGTTTTTGGATTTTCTCAAGTAACTCTATAATATTGTACTAAGTATAAACGGTTGTCCTCACCCGTCCTCATCCTTCATTACAATATTACGTTTATAAATGAATAGTTTAACTATATCATTTGCTCTGAACTTTAATTAATTTTGAAGGGTTTCATTATTCAATCATTCTCAAACTAAAATAAGCCTAAAATCTGATGTACAATGTAACTTTGAGCAATGCTTGTATAAGTATTCAGTAGCACATTGACTATGACTAATTAATATAATAATAAGTACACTTTTTTATCAGTAGCTATCTTACGAATAATAAATTATGCACAATATAAATAGATTATAACAATTTTAAAATGTTATATTGTGATGTGTGCTACTGATGTCTACGGATATAAGTAGTATGTAGCATCAATCGAAGGTGAAATACCTGGCAGCAGAGGGTTAAGAAAAACGTAGAGAGGAGAACGAGAATCGTGAGTGATTGGTTTGGAAAAGAAAAATTGGTCAAGATTGAGACAATTGATTGGCATTTTGTAAATGAAGTATTTACTGTATGGTTCTCAGATTTTATTAAGAGCTTCTGTAATCTATATGTTCAGATACATTCGATTGTCTCCACTTGTGTTCTCATTCACTTCAATATCATTGAACAGCATAGACAACATGATACTAGATCAAGTTCAAATTTTATGTTACACAGTTAAATTTGTTTGTTGATCTACGATAGAATTAAACTAAATACAATTCATTATAAGCAAAGATAGATAGTGACTAGCAGTGGAATCCAGGACGCGCGTTTCATCCTATTTGGGACTCGTCAGCTGGATGTATCTGCAAATCAGAGTTGACGTTCACTTTGGGACTCGAACCCAGTACTGTTCGCTTCAAACATCATCACGTTATCCACTCAGCTACTGAGTCCTGAATTAATTATTATTTATTATTATTATTATTAGCTTTATTCAATATTATATTATTTGGTACAAAATCGAATTCTCAGCATAAAGTATTTCAACATGTTTACGTTTCTTATTTCTTCGTTGCTCCTGATGATAAACATTCAGTGATCGCCAGTTGGATGTCAGCAGTTCAGTCAATCGACATATGAATAATGTATATTCTTTTTGCTGCATGTTCCCAGCAAACACGACATCTCTGATTAGACCTTTTTTAACTTTTACAGCGAAAGGTTGTACAGTTTTCAGAAACGCACCGAAATAGGTTGTGTGCTTAATAGCCATAATGATGTATTAAAACAAACAATATTAGATAACTTGTTGAAATACATAGATGACGGGAAACAGGTAGCCCAGATGTTTAAGCAGGCCGCCAAAAGACAATATCGATGCAACAATCCGCACAGTATGCACATATGGCCAATAAGAGACTGATCAGTCGCAGTCCAAAATATCAATGGGAAGAATCAACCAAACAATGCCAAGTGAATTTAAATACAATTCGCATTAGGTTGACTGATTCTAATTCCTTTTTTATATAAGAGATTTGAATTTATACTAAATTGAGAAGTGAATAAAACTATAACAGATAAACAAACGATCAATCTACCTATTATATATGTATACTATTAAAACACACATTTAACGTGAGTCAATGTTCAATGGATTTTTGTTATATCCATTTTTTGCATAGTGGCAATCATGAGTCAATTGAAGCTAGACAACCTTGAAAAACCTGGAAGCACTGAACGGCCGTTTTGTACAATGTGCATCCACAATCCTGCCTTGCGAGATTTAAACCCAGGACCTATCAGTCTCGCGCCAGAGCGCTTAACCACTAGACCACTGAGTGGGCATCCAAAGGTGTTAATGTCTAACTTCAACTAATCCACGAAGTTGATCATCCATTCACCAATTGTCTTCAGTGAGTTGATATCTTCCAACAGACCTGAGTGAACTCCACTGGTCTCGTGTGCGAGACTGATAGGTCCTGGGCTCGAACCTCACGGGGCGAGATCGTGGATGCACACTGCTGAGGAGTCCCACAATAGGACGAAACGGTTGTTCAGTGCTTACAGGTTTTCCATGATGGTCTAGCTTCAATTAACTCATGATTTCAACTATACAAATACTGAAATCTCCACAAAACCCCTTCTGATAATATTCATTCTTATTTATTTAAAACACATAAACTCGGAACTGAGTTAACTATTCCATTTAATCAAATAACTAAGATGATTAAAACTTCTTCAAGTAGTTTGTTTTTTTCTTTTACTAACTAAAGTTTATTTTATTTATAAATATGTGACACACAAAAACAAATAAGAAGTTTGTCAACATTCCCAGTACCAATGAATCAAGACTATTATAGGGGAAGAAAAAAAAGGGAATAATGACGAAATAGACAAAAATTGTTTTTTGTATGTTTGTAACCTTTTTTGGTTGTTGTTGTTGTTGTTGTTGGAAAACATGTTAGTTAATATGGATTCGAATAATAGAACCAGAAACAATTTCATTGAAGACTATGCCAGTAAATGTTGATTAACATCAAAACTTATTTTCTAGGTTTTCTACTAATTACCCATATTCATTTAACGTAAGTAACCTTTAAGTTTATGGTACTTAGGTCATAAAAAGAAGAAAAAAATTTAAGTTAAGCTAATTAAATTGTTCGTTATTATAATGAAAATCTCAATATTCCTATTGTGTGTATACGTTGTTAATTGCAATGGGTGATAAAAATAGTTTCCTGAATGAACTGAGAAAAATTGAAAAATTGTTGGAAATCACTTGGCACTGAAAAGTTGTTTCGTTGTAGTTTGGAACTCATTATCAGTAATGGGAATATATTAAATTATACAATAGTAAATCCAAACAATTGAATTGGTTTACATTATCACGATTGGTCATTTTGAGATAAGGAGTAGCTTATTGTTACCCTTGTGAACAAGCTGATTACAAATTATGGCATAATACTTGAAGTTAGAAAACTTCACATCACTTGTTAAAATATCAACATTTTTTTGTATGTTAAACCACGAACATATCCTAGATAGACAACCTTTGAAAACCAGGATGCACTGGACACTTTTTTAGTTTTATTATTGGGTTAATCCATAATGCGCACCCACAACCTTAATACCAAGAATCGAATTCAGAACCTTTGATCTCGTGTGTGAATGTTAAAGCTTTAGACCATTCAATAGTATGAATGTCTAACTTCAAGTAATTCATGATATTGGATAACGACAGCTCATCACCTAGGATAAATAACTGTCTCACACCCAACACAATGGAACTCGGTTAGTTACATCCTCTCATTAGAATCCCAGAAGTTGCATCTTGAAACTAGTCTTTAGTGAGCATATAATTATTACCGGCATAGGGTTTTGTCAGAGCTGTAGAACTTGCATAGTTCAAATTTAACTGATCGTTTTATAGAATAAACTTATTGTTTTAGTGAAGCATATTATTAGATTAAAAGGACTTATTAGTAGTATAATGAAATTTAATGTCAAAACCGATTTATAAGTATTCTACTTTCGGTTTTTTATAAATTCATGCACGCAAACTGATAATCTCGCTCTATTGATTAACTAGTTCAATTGTAGTAAACGAGAACAGAGGTGGGGAAAACCAAATGTATTTTAATACAAAATTACAGAGTTCTTTGGTAAAATGTGAAAACCAGCCCTTCAATCCTTCATTTGCAAATCCTCTATCAATTGTCTCTTAAAAACTTCATCATTCCTTCATTACTATAACAATTACTCTCTGTTCCCGTTCTCTTCTCTTTGATCATCCCTACTTTCTGCTGTCAGACATTCCATTTTTGATTGGTGCTATATACTACTCATGTTGACATAAGTAGTATACACTACATAATTATATTGTATACAGTGTAAAAATGATGGAAAATAAGAAAAAAAGATATTCCTAGAAGATATTTTTCTTTTTTTGCACAAACTACTATGTTCCCTACTACTTTTAGTGTAGTTTTAGTTTATTTATTTAGCTAAACACATAATTATTGGTACAAGGAGCAGCAGATATATATGCGCCATACAAATCTCATTTGATTTGTGTGAAGGCTGTGAAAATGCCCAGGTGCCCAAACTGAAGAAGGTGGTTTTCTTAGGGGGCTACATCCGGAGCCTTTGACTCAAAGGTCTGATCCACAAGGCAGTGGAACATGCAGTCCCATGGTAGCCGGTGACCGGCGATTGATTCATACCCCATTTGTTCCCTCAGGATACTGGAGCCCATATAAATAAAACCATTTAAATAAGACCTA